AAAAATCACAGTCAAAATTACTGTACAATCAACATTTTAACAGTGAGATTTCACATTAATGAAGATACCATGTATATGATAAATTTTATGCTATCACATTGGATTAAATTACTTGTAAACTATTTCACTATGTTTTTCAGCATAATGGATAACACTACTTAAACACAACTCTACAGTAGACTTGTCTGATTGACATCATTTCCTTAGCTTTTTGTAGTTTAGTATACTACTAAACCATTCTAAAACCAAAACAAAAATTAAAACTGAGTAGCAAGAAGGATGTGTACCATTTCTATACAAATGATGTAAGACATGCAAATTGCTGAATGGAGTGAAGAACAAATGAGACTGCATTAAGTTAGCTTTGTGCCTAATTCTAATGTGCACCTCAATATTTGAGACCTGAAAAGTACAAAAAAAAAATGTTCATTACAATCAAGAAAACATAGTTAATGGTGCTTCATACTTTAAATTTAATTCATTCCAGGAAGCCATTTGAGAGTCCCATTAGAAATAATGGAAAGTAAATTAACTCATTCCCCAGACCCTAAACAGTGCCCATTTCAATACATTTAAACAATAAATACACATAAGTTAAGGTAAAAGTAACAGAATTAAATACCTTAATGCTAAATTAAAACACAAAAACAAGAAATAAAAATACTGTATAATAAAATGAAAATTGCAGTTACTGGTCATACACCACCAACTTCTGCATCTTAAAAATGGCCACCAGATCCATATGTGCTGCTTTGTTTGGCAATAAGTTCTTTTTTTCACTTCAGGTCAGTTCAACATTCCTTTTAGACTTTGTTGCTTTCAAACACTTCTCAGATGCCATGGTAAATAATTAAAGCTTATATTGCTGCACCAAACAGAAAGTTTTTATATATTTTTAACAGTTGTTGTTATTTAACATACATATTTAATTTAATTATAACAACAAAATGTAGCACATTATTGCTAATTTGAAATTATATTCTTTGTTTAGAAACTTATATTTTAAGCGTTTTACTTCACATATTGTTTGAATAAAATCAAGACAAAATGTCTTTGGATAAAAAGCATATCAGGCATGTTATGCTTTGAGTTTTGGAAAGAATATAATGCCTTATAAACAGTAAATAAAATTTTTAATGTGAATGGGGAAGATGCTCCTAAACTTTGAACATGTCAAATGTGGTTTTCAAAGTTCTGTTCAGGAAATTTTGAACTAAAGGATATAAAATGTAAGGGGCAACCATTAGTTCTTGACAAAGAAATTGCTAAAAATCAATGAATAACACACACTATATATATAACCAAATACACCAAAAGAAGAACAAAAAGCACTGAAAACATATGAGCAAAACACAAGAGCAAGAGACAACTTAATGCACAATAGATGGTGTTTACACTTCAAGAGCATTTTTTCACTGCACATGCAATTCAAACTTTATATGTTAGAGTGGTTTGAAGTACAAGGTATCACTGCATAATGTATGTATATAAAGAACATAATTAAAAAAATGTTAAATTTATAAGTATACAGAAGAATAGTACTCTGTCAATAGCTGTTTTCTGCAATAAAAATCCTGAAAATGCATGTGGAAAAGGAGCAACATCAAACTAACTTGGCTACTGCTTTCTATTCAATTGTGTAGGTCATGCTACCTAAAGGCTACGTCAGACTAGATACATAATTAAACTAGTCCACTTTGGTAACATGTTTACATAATTAGCTGCTGAATGCTGGCACACAGGACATAGCTTAAAAACTGTATAGGTGCTTTGATGGACCTTGTCTGACTTACAAATATTTTTGGGTGTCTAGGTTTGAAAAAATTTTAGGTTAATTATGACACAATTAACTCTATTGTTTTAATAGAGTTATTTATAACAAAAATTGTTTATTTGATGCTAAGTATGGAAAAAAAACAATCTTTCATTTAATTGTAAAAATATATTACTTGTAAAATTATTTCTATAATTGTTTTTAACTATATTAAATTTGCAAAAAATTTAATGAACAAAGTCATTTTATGTAAATATATTTCATTCTATAAAAACAAACTATTAGAGATAATTTGTCAAACTTTTCTGTCTGTCAGAATATGAAACTAGCACAATTCAGTATAAATAATTTGATCTTTAGGAAAATTTTTTAGTTTTTGTTAAAAAAATGTTAAATAAATGTTAAATTCACCACATACAAAAAACCTTTGTAACTCCAGTGATACATGTTTACACACCAGTGAGCATTTTTATTCTTAAATTTGTTTTTCTAAATTTTGAATTGCATTTGGTTCGTTTTAATGTTCCATTCCACACGCATTCAAATTCCTCATAAACGTAGCCGGATGGGGTCAAAAACATTCGCTGGTGTGTAAACACGTATCACTGGAATTACAAAGGTTTTTTGTATGTGGTGAATTGTATTTCCTCTGGTGTTTACGAAGAGTATCATTTCTTATAAAATGTTAAATATAAAGAAATAACCATTAAAATCAAGTTGTTCATAAACTAATACTTTGAATTTCATGCACTCTAAATATTACCTTTCTTGCTGGGATACCAACTATATTCTAATTAGAAAATTATTGGGAATTCTGTAATCCTGCATCTATGGATTATAGGAACGCTGCCAATAATCAGTCAAAATAAACATAATTAAACAGTAGTTTTAGATTGTTGAATTATCAGTAGCATTCCTATATACCTATCATTATGGAATTCCCAAGAATTTTCTGATACTAAATGTAACTTCATTAATCAAAACATTAATCCCTAAGCCATTTGATTTTTCATCCCATCAGAGAATAAGCTATCACAGTAAAATTGTATAGAAAAAAAATACTGCATTAGAGTAAACATTCTGGAGCAGATGAAATGTCCCATCTCTGCTACATCATCCTGTATACAGAACAATTTTAATATGTAATTTGTAGGATAGATACAAACAGACATGATCTTGTAGAGTTTGTATCTTTCTCTGCTTGGATATTTTCTTAAATTCTAGGGCTATATAGCAAATAAAATATATTTATAAGTTGCATTTGAGCTTAACTTCATTTCCAGAGAAATGATTTTTTATAATAGTGGGTTCTTGAAAATATCAATGGATAGAACACAGTTGATTAGTGATTTAAAATGACTATTGTTGAATAGGAATATCAAAAAAAAAATTTCATTTATAAAAGGTAAAATAACCATGAGAAAAGTAAAATTTGAGCAATTCAAAAAAAATTGCTCAGTGTGCTGTTTGTAATAATCATTCAAAGATTTAAAAAGTGTGCTGAAGAGATTAATGAATTTGTGAATAAATTTTAATTTTTGTTTTTTTTTTTTAACAGTAAGAGTCACTTTAAATGCAAGCTATATATATATTATATGTATGTGTGTAAATTTTGGAAAAGAACATTCAGATTATAAAATGTACATACAACCAATGTCATCCATAGAAGTATGTTCAAGTGATATAGATTCTGCTACTAGATTTCATTAAATTGGTCAAACCACAGAATCTACTGGTGTTTGCACAGCGATAACCAAGACTCAAGCAGGCAGTGTATCCACTGCCATCTAGAAAGACTTGTACCATAAAAATTGCCTTTATTGTACAGTAATTTCTTCCGTCATTCTGAAATAGACTGTCAATTAGATCATTGTAAATATATATAGAAATGGTTTTAATAAATGTATAATTTGATTTAATTTTTGTTTGTTTGCTCCAGATTTTGTCTTAAAAATTTCATTACATATGATGAGTGTATAAATAATTTATCAAAATATAGGAGTTACTTAATGCATAGATGATTCTGCTATTTTTACTGTTAGAATAAAAATATAAACGAAACATCATGATCTGTAAAATTTTATTTTCAAATTAACATTTCCTTAAACTGCAAAACTAAAAGTCAAAATTTTCAAAATAAGTGCAAAAGATATTTTCGTTGGCAAATAATTTATTTTAAGACACGTCAGCCTACCACTACTTGCATATACACCATACATAAAATGTTGACTAACAGAAGTACTAAATTACTAAATTAAATTTTTTACAAAATTTACATATCACATGTAATTTGACAATTTAATAAAATTGTGACTTCTAAATTTATTAAATTAAAAAATAAAATACCACTATAAAATCAATCACTCAAGTTGCAAATATCACAATGTATTATTTGACTTAACACATGTAGAGTTCTCAACTTATTCTGATCTCTTGCATACACAACAAATTCCTTTATAACATACTATTGAAAATTTAAGTCCCGTAACTCAGATTATCATTAACCAAAACCCCATTACATAATTCTGCAATCCCTTTTTTTGTTTTAAACGATATCCCACTATAAAAGAAGCATTAGAACATCGAATCGATTAGCCACAAATATCTGAAAATTAAATAATTACAACATAATACTGTACAGGACTCGCAACAATTCAATTCGATGACTAAAAATCTTTGGGCAACAATATACATATATACTATACGGAGTGCAGCCGTACCCTTTAAAATGGCAATTTTGGACGTAACATCTTATTAAAAAAAATACTAGTGAGACAAACAACTTTAGTCGAAAATAATTTCTATTGTCATAGTTTAAATATATAATCGGGCTTCATTTATTATATAAAGTTAACTTGAAGGAATGAATAGTTTTATAAAATTTTTCTACAAATGTAAAATACATTTGCATTTGTAAGGCATTTTCAGCAGTTCTAGGATATTTTGAAAAAACTGTTTTAAACTCAATTTTGATTTTTAAATAGCTTTATCTTATATACAGGATGGAATCAATTTCAGATATTTTAGTATGAAAATAAGAGATTTTTTTTTTTAATTTGGTTCATGTATTTAATATTAATGTATATCATTACTTAATCTTTTAAGTGCACATGATTAACATGACAGATGTTTAATTAGAAAAATGAATTCATGTTCCTGAAAGGAAGATTAGACTGTTTAAGTTATAAAAATTCTTTTGTAATTTAAATATGTTACATANTTCATGTATTTAATATTAATGTATATCATTACTTAATCTTTTAAGTGCACATGATTAACATGACAGATGTTTAATTAGAAAAATGAATTCATGTTCCTGAAAGGAAGATTAGACTGTTTAAGTTATAAAAATTCTTTTGTAATTTAAATATGTTACATAATTATGGTCTTTTTTAAGAAATTTTACTGAAATATTTCAAATTATTATGGAATTTTGATAAAATCAACTATTTATTTACACTTAAGAGTGTAAGGGAATGATCAGAAAAATTTGAAAACCATCAGATTTATCCATTTGAAATGTATTACCATTATTATCATGATAAGTGAATGTGTGAAAGCATTATTTTAAAATTGTTCTTTTGTTTAGGAAAATTATTTGGCCATCACAAAGTTGTCTATATGTTTTGTGCTTATTGAAAAGTGAGTTTAAAACTGAATTTCTGGACACTAAAAAGTGTAATTATAATGTGTGGTAATTTCTCTCTGTACGAGATTTGTAAAATTTAAAGCCAACGTACATGATAGCCAGGAGTCCTACTGTGAATACAATTCCTCCAATAAAGCTCAGAGCATTGAATCCTCCAGATTTTGGCTTAGAAGGAGCTGCTGTAGGATTATTCTCTCCTGTCGACAGATCTGTAGTCTGAGTCGTTTCTCCAGATTCGGTGCTAGATACCTGGGTGGTTGAATTTGCCACTGTTGTACTACTTATTTCAGTGGAGTTAGTAGTGGATGGAATGGAGCTGTTAGTTGAATTTGTTGCATCTTCCGGAATGATGGTGGTAGTAGTAGTAGTAGTAGTATTAGTAGTAGTAGTATTAGATGAGGTTTCATTAAGACTTCCTTCTTTCTCTTCAGTTACAGTAACAATAGTACTTGTACTGTTAGTAGAATTATTTACTACTGAAGGCACCACTGTATTGTTGTCCTTATCTAAAATTTAAAAAAATTTTGTTGAATGAACATTAAATAAAATGTATAATATTCAAAGAGAAAAATTTATAATTAGTTATTTTATTATGTACAATTGATTCGTGACCTAAGAATGATCACAAATGGATCAATGAACTAAAGTATCAGAGATTAAATTAGAAAACAAAATATTTATAGATTTTAATAACAAGATATCTAAATTTTGTATAGTGGAAACATTTTATACTTTGTAATGATTAATTACAATTATTTCTAATAAGAGAATTATGCATAATAAATTAATTTTTATCACAATAATAAGTTCAGATTATGAATTATTGAATATATTTATTCAATAAGTGAGATTTTAAATGTAAAATAATTAATATTGCTGATAGAAATTCAATTTTTCAGTTATAAAACTATTTGTAGCCATGCAATGAAACCTAGCATATACTTTGGTTTTATTGCAACAGGACTGTGCTGTTAAATTTTCCAGGTGAAGGTTTTTTGTTACACAGAGGAAAGTTACTGGTTGTAACATCGATCCTCTTAACCCAGAAAAGTCAATAGCACTTACATAATCATGTTACGTTTTAATTAAAACTACAAGATACTCCAAATTTTTTATTATATATTTTACTGTACATACATTTACATGTACTGTAAGTTTCATAGTATAATTCATAGGGGTAAGAAAATTGTTATTTTTAACAATGTTGCTAAGGTAGTTTTTTTGCACGTTACAACGGGAAATCCCAATTGATATTTTAAATCCATTTTCTTTTTAACAATAGAATAGATATCAAACTAATTTCCTAAAAATGGCTATTATCTATGTTAAGATTTTTATCTAAAGTATTTTATTATTTTGTCCTTCAAATGTAATATTGAAAAGCTGCAACACAATCTAACATTGAATACAAGCAACTAAACGCCAAACAATATACATATATATATAAAATCTAAAAAAACTAAATTTAGACTTAGTATCAGACTTAAAAATCATTAAGTGGTGATCATTAAAAATTTTCTTCTTTAAGTATAACCAACTGTGTAAAATAACAATAAACTCAAATGTTTGTTCATATTCAACTAACCATAACTAGACATTAATGAATGTGATAAAATCATTCTAGCGTCAAATGTTAAATAAAAGCAAATTCGATTTAAAAAAAAAGAGTAAAAAGTTAAGATTGCAGCACATGTAATCGAGGACGAAATTTCTGAACAATGCACAACATTCTTTGAATTTTCTGACAGAGAAAATAAAAGTATTGTAAACAACGATAAGATCACTTAAATATCAAGGTGAAACTATACATAGAAAATGTTTTTTGCCTAACATTACATCTGCTTAGTTTATTGACACAGATGAAATTATCTAAAAGATAACATTCCTTTGTCTATCGACTTTCAAGTGCGGTTTAAAATAAATTAATTACAGTAAGATCTAAGTTAAATTTTTGATGTGTGGAGATTTTAATTGGAAAAATTGAATAAATCCAAGTAAAATCAGTTTCGGTATTCTTAGAAACAAGCCAGAGTTAGTTATTGGCGTGCAATAAAAAACGATTAATTTTATTGGGAAGTAAATAAGCCCGAGGCCTTGAAAATTTTCCTAGTAGTAATCAGAATTTTAATACCTGATAACTTTCTGTTATTACAGATTTTGAGTAATGTTTATGCAAGTTCTATGTGCAAAAATCATTATAAAAAAAGCAGTCACCACATTATTATTTTTTAAATAATAATCAGATGAATTTTAATTGTCATTGTTTTAAAAAAAACCAAAATAAATAAACTGCACACTAAACAAAAAATAGATTTCTAGTTGTCTAGACAGATTAATAGAAACCTATAATATGTCCAGTTTCAAGATTTTTATCTCCGGCATCCATATGAAATCTTAATCATATGCAGAATGGTACTGAAAGTAACAAAATTTATTAATTTTATAAATTACAGAAATCCCTGTAAAGTAACTATTTTGGAAGGAAAACAATTGAAGGAGGGGATAACTCTAAGGGTATTTCAATTACAAAGCGTTAATTTTTTTTTTATTAAAGTAATTTTCCCTGAAAAAAAGCTTCCCATTTACCTACATTTGATTATTTCATAAGAGATTTTTTAAGAGGTAACACTTGATTATTTCATAAGAGAAATAAGGACAGACAAACAATAGGATGTGTGTATCCTATGCCATATTGCTTACAGAATATTAATGAGCAAGTTATATTGAATTAATAGCCGTTTATTGAATAGTCATGGAATATTTACTTACCAGCTTCGTCGCTGCTTTCGATGGCTTTAATGGACCCTATAACCAAGAATAAATACGATAATTTGAATAAAATATCGATTTTCATTTTGATTTTTCAATAAAAACACCCTTCGAATAATGACAAATGCGAATTTACTTCGCTCCAATTTTTATAAAGATTGACTACGTCTTTCGCAATATGTCCGCTGCGAGCGCACCCGTCTGGCATTTAAGGTTTGATTTATTTATTTATGTATGATGTGAAGTTCTATCGAATATGCTTGATATTAGTTTTTAAAATTTTATGGGAAAATTTTTTAAATTATTTTCTGTTAATTTTATTTATTTTTAATTTAATCTTTCGTATTTTACTTGTAAAAATTTTGTTGTTTTTATATTTTGACGCAAGGGGCGCTCTTTTAATGAAAAGAATGTCGGCTGAGCTTTTGCATGGTCCGTATAGTGGGGTAACTTCATTTTTCATAAACATTTTATTTACGATGTTACGGTTATCTTCAATATACGATATAATAATATCAATAACAAAATTTTTAGGAAAAGTGGCGTTGCGACACTATAATCATCAGCCGACGATTTAAGTACAATAGTCTTACGGCCGGAAGGCTGAACAGTTAAGATGACAGTATACCGCTCTGGGGACCGATAATCGATTCCAGACGGGTCGGAATCTCCAGGAGTTTTTCGGAGATTGTCCGCCCGAATATGTTGGGTCCCGAAACGAATTCATTTCGTTATTTCGCGGATGAATCGTCATGGTAATTTCAGGCGTCTTGCCGACTTACTTTTGCTGAAAATTTTATGTTAAAACATTATCATATATAGCATAAAATTACAGTTGAAAAATAAACAACATATGAGACGTATTGACGCGATCACCTGAGAATAGGAAATGTTTCATCTTCAATTTCCGTGCTGTCTGGCTCGGCCGTCCGCCATATTAAACCGAAAAATTGAGAGTTTCCTGTATTTTATTCACGTGAATTTACATTATTCAATATTAGTATTGAATTAGTTCTCTGTATGAAACAGAATCAAATCAGATGCATTATTTTGTTTGATCTACTGCTCCATATCTCATAAATTTATTCCTTTGTTTTTATTGGAAATGAATTACAGTCGACCCCCCTATAAGACGATAGATGCGTTCCATTCTTTATGAATCGATTTCTTACGAGTCCTTGCCAATCACAACCCGACACGTGTGAATTTTACGGACTACGGCTGTTTGAAAGGTTTTCTTCCATAAAATTAATCGATTCTAGACTAATCCAACTCAACATTTCCAAAATACGTATATTTTTGGGGGGAATAATCCGTATAAACTACGCTATAAACAAAAAATTGTAGGATTACTTACCGAGTGTGCACCATTCGACATCGCCATTGCTCAAGTTTGTTTTCGTCGCGGAACAGCGCTCGAAACGGCGGCCGCGATTTCTGATAAGTTATTTTTCTGCGAAAACTTCGTTGAACTTTGGAGACATCATTAATATAAATAATTTTAATGGCCGTTGAATAAGAAATGTTTCTTTCACAAGAAATGTATAAAATTACAGTACTGTATTAGACTTACGGTACCTAATTTACATATTGTACAGACAATAGTAAACAACTTACTCGCCTAAGCTCTCCGTAGCGTAGCGCTAGACGACGGAAAGTATATATATATATAATTATATGTACAGTACCTAATTTATATATAATACTGTACAGACGATACTGATCTCTCCGTAGCGTGGCGCTGGACGGCAGAAAGTAGTTCGGCTGCCCGATGACGTTTTACGTAATTATAGGAGTTTTTATCGTTTTATACGGATATCGTCGCAATTTTTTCGCCGTCTTATAGGAATCGTAATTATAGGAACCTGTTTTATAGGGGGTCTACTGTATATACTTTGATTTTTTTTTACTGTGAAGCATTATTACTTAGGATATTTGATCGACTACAAGTTCCCATCATTACAGTAGCTCTGATCCACAATGAAGTAACCAAGCCTTACTCGACCACTAGACACTTTAGGCAAATGCTTAGGATGGAAAAATATGCAAGTATAATAATAGTATTTTATCAGTGGCGTGCCGATATTGGAAGCGGTGGAAGCGCCTCTTCCCTTGTATTTTCTAAAAAATAAATACATATTGCGCGATTATTTTCATATTTTAACGTATTTTGGATTAATTAAAATTAATATTTTATTATAACCTTCCAAGCAGCCAGATTATACGCATCCGCGCATGCGCTTTACGGAGCACCCACCTCACCCGGTTTAGCTGGTGGAAGCTACACACCTATAACGCTTCCAACGATTCTATCCATGACCGGTTATGGGCTGTTAGCCGCCTGCCTGCTAGATATTTGGCCGTTTTCGCCCGATTATGTGAACCGCGAGTAGATTTATAACCAGGGCTGTGGAGTCGCGTAAAAATCTACCGACTCCGATCAGGGGCAGCCTTGTTACCGAAAGAGACCCGAAAATTCTGATGTCATCACGTGACCTCAGAATTCAATAAATACAGTTCTAATAAAGATAGAACGTAGAAACTTTTTATTCCAATAATACTCCTCTGAGTAATATATAAATATGTATTCGATAATTTTTACTTCTCCGGCTGTTATATATAGCAGAGGAAAAGTGTAGCGCTCGGTCAAAAAAATGACCCCTCCCAAATTTTTACATTTTTGGATTCGGGACACATTGAAATTTCGAGATATACAAAAGATTCGAGGTTTTTTTTCTATATGTGTGGATGTTAGACTGTGTGTGTGAGGCATGATTTTGTTCAGCCTGTTTGAAGCCTAATAATTTCTGTGATCAGAATGGTCAGAATCGGAGTCAGATGGTTTAACACAAGAGTTAGTTATTAAGCGTCAAAGTGGTTGAACTAAATCGTGTCCCCATATACATTGTAGCATCTTAGGCGAGAACATCTTAATGGGTTTTACTGTACTATTATAAAATGACAAAAAAGCTTACTTTGAGGGTAGAGACGAGTTTTATTTTATTATTATTATTATTATTTTTAATTTTGAACGCTAATAATGAGTAAAATATTCATTAAGAGATATGACACATGACCACTTTTATGTCTTCACCCTGTCGACCTTTAATCAAGAACCAAAATTTAATTGTATTAATGCCCCTTTATACGCAAGCTACAGTGCCACATTTCGTTTCTTAAACTTTACCCATTCTGAGATATTGTTTACTATCTCAGAACAGAAAGTAAAGAAATTAAACAAATTAGACGCCAACACACACACTCGCGCGAATTTTTCCTCTTTCATTGACTTTTTTGAGGGGTTCGTGAGGTCTTCAGACGTGTAGATTTGCAAAAGAAACTTGGAGGGTCAAATTTGACACGATTCCAATACTTTTCCGGACAAAAATTAATAGTTCCTCCGGACAGTGAGTCAATTCCCGGATTGTCCGGGTGAAAACCGGGTGGTAACACTAATCAGAACACTTCACTGTGAGTCTGGCCAAACCGATAATAGGCTTGATAAAAGTCCCTCTTGATGGTTACAGAGCGGAACAAAAATAACAGGGAATAACAAAAAGAAAAATATAAAGGTAAATAAGAGGGAATTTTCCATAGAAAAGTCTTCCTGGGTGTTTTTATTCAATGCAAACAAACAAGAACAATTTTTTAACCGGAAGTTGACGCTAACCAGAGTCCACTATAGAAATAAATATTATTATATAAAAATAACAATTTCATATTACAAGTAGATTTTTAAAAGTTAATAATTATTTTATATATATCGTAAACATTATAAAAATTTATTAAAATAATAAAAATTTGATATTTTCTCGATAGGTTTCGCTAGTCTCCTCCATTTTGTTTTTTGTACAGACGACGTAAACAGTCATGGGAGGGAAAAAGAAAGCAAACCGAACCAAAGGAAATGTCAGGGTGTGTATTATTTTATTTACGTTATTTAGCTTAAAAATATAATTTCATATTTATATTTTTTTATCTTAATTGTTATATTATACCGAACTTCTTTTACATATTGTTTACTCTCAGATATATCCCAAATAAATCCTGAGCTTAATTACGTTGCCAATGGACTTCAGTGTAAAGTACTGACTAACATAAGCTTGGAAATGTATATTAATAAAAAGTTACATCATTTGTTATCAGAAGGGCTGAATTCAAACTCTGAGACGTTTGAGACCATATTAGAGTTGTAGAGCCCATAGGAAGAAAAAGTCAAAGGAACCATACCTTTACAAACGACTTATTGTGAGATAAAGCCTCCCAAAATCTGGTTGCGTGAGATTGTGAGTTGCATCGCTCCACTAAGACTATTGCATTTAACTATTTAGCCCACACAACTATGCCAGCTTCAAGTGTAAAACTAGTAAACACTCTAAAACTAGGACACCTGGGCACTGAGATGTGAGCGATAGTGAGCACTGAAGCACATGATTACATGCAGAGTATTAGTTAAGGCAAGCAATAGTGAATTTTGATGGCACAGAGCATGTAGCATAGGCAGTTTACTGATGTGTGTTAAAAACTGACCTTTGGAGGTGAATAGCTCGCAAAGGGTTGATGTACAAGGTATGGTTTCTTTGACTTTTTTGCTTGTACAATGGGATCTACAGTTTGGGTGTCAAAAAAAACCTATCATTCAGAGTTTGACTCTTACTAGAAGAACCATATTTACTAGTTTCTTTGTTGGCACTCTAATATATCAAAATTATTCTTTTTCCTTCTTTTTATTTACATTACTTTCCATTCTTCAAATTTTCTAGATACTCAATTATCACTCTGGGATTATCAAAGTTGATCCAAGCTTAACATTAAAAAATCCACATTAAGCTTAGATCAATGCTCGAATTTGTTTATGCACTTAGTCTGTTTTTTTACGGCTGTTCTAAAGATTTTAAAACTTCTCTCAATTGATCCTTTGTTTGCAAGGATGGTGGAAATGAGTGTTAAAACAGTTGTCCAATTTGGATTATACTGTATTCTTTTGCTGTGAATTCTTTGGATCTATTGGCAGTCTTATTTTTCTATCTATCTTTGTGGCAAATTGTCATTGGGAAGGACTATCAGCATCTCCTATTGTTCACTTTAAAGCACTGCTTTATCACTAGTTTTTCTTTCAAAGGTTAGAAATTCTCTAAAGCAATCCAAGCAAGTACTCATACAATTAAATGAACTCACTTAAAAATACAGAAGATTTTGCTCAGCTGAGTGATGCTAAGGCCTCAGAAGTTGTACGATATGTATCCGAGGAAAATTCTGCTACCAATACAAACAGTATGTTAAATGAAAGTTTTGGTTACCTTAGTTAGTTTGTCCTCAATGTGTGCTGTACAGTAGAACTTAAAAATGTCAAATATTGTCCTAAAATAAAGTATTAATAAAACCAGCTATAAATTGTTAATAAACTGATCATGTAACTTTTATATAGAAACCTGCAATAGTGTGTTTAGGTCTTTCTTACACCATTTATAAAATTTAAAATTTTCCATTGTGGAAGATCTTTTCCCACTCTCTCACCTCACTTCCTAATTTAAGATAAATCTCCTAGATCTTGAAGTTTAGATAAAAGGAATTTTAAAGAAAGTTGTCATTCATCTCTTAAATGTTTATTACCAACAGAAGTTTATTAAGATCATCATATATCATTATTGCAATCAGATGAATTCTATAGGTGTGATGATAGTAAGACTTTTAGGACTGACACTTGAAACAAAGTTTTATGCAATATCTTCAAGGAAGTAGCAAAACTCTCCAACTTTAGAATTGCACACAGAAGGAGCTCTACTACTATTCCATTTGCTTTATCACTAGTTTTTCTTTCAAAGGTTAGAAATTCTCTAACCTAAGTAATGGAATAGTAATTCTCAGGAATTCCCAAAAATAGAATTTGAAGATGACCATTGTACTTGGTTGAAAACATTCATTCTGTTAATAAACATACTATTTTTACTGGATTTAAGGTTTTTGATATTAATTTTAGTTAATACATCCAGTTTTTGGAGTTTTTTTTATCTCTGAAATGTCTGCATTAAAATTAAGTTTGGTATTCAAGAATAAGTCTATAGGTATTTTTGCAGAAAGTTTGTTTAAGGAAATATTCAGCAATTAACTTGATGTATAAAAGTATTTAAAGATTAGAAGTATACAGGCACTCTCACTTAACAACCAAGTTCTGTTCCTGTGACTAAGTTGTTAATTGGTCAATAAACAAGGAGCTTAATTGTTTTATTTATTCTTGATAAAGAAATGGTCTAAAGCAAACTCCAACTTGATAACTTTAATGGTAATATTTTAATTTGCATTTCTTACATATTACAGAACATAAAAATACAATCAGCAAAAATATTAAAATGTTGTACTAAAAAATTAAAGTTCATTCATTTTAAAAAATCCAGCAATGAGTTGCATAACTTTTTTGGCTGTTAAGAGATTTTATTTAAAAAATCATTTTTATATTATTAATCATACTATTAATAAATAAATTGTGTGGTGCTGTCTGTTATGAGATTTTATCATAAAAATTTTTATATTATTAATAATTGTAAAATGACAAAAAGCTTTAATTTTGAGGGTAGAAATGAGTTTCATAAAAAAAATTTTAAGTCTGATCCCTCTTGACATATTACACCTTTCCTCATTCTCTTGATCTTTAACCACCAAAATTTAGTACCATTAATGCCCCTTACATGCAATTTTGTCCAGGTGAAGTCATGTTTTTTCTTTTTGCCAATATCTTGTATTATGAGATGCACAATAAAATACAAATTTACAAACAAAGTATTATAGTCTTGGAGACTGTGAATGCTTTGTGTAGTAAACTAACTACAGGAACAAGACTATGACTATGAAAGAGGGTTCCCAAGACTCAGACTGAGAAAGGGGATTCCCTGCACTGGAGAGCTGCCGTTAAATGAGGAGTGGCTATATGTTGTTATTTGAAAGAACTGCAACTACTAATAAAGTTGAAAATTTTATCATGCTTCAAATTCTCTGATAATTAAACAAATGTTAATATTTAAATTAATTTACATTTACAAAAGCATTTTAATTTAATTATTGATGTTTATTGATTAAATTTGATTATTGATTTTTTTAAATTAAAAATGGCATACTTATTTAAATTTGTATTTTTATCATTTATAGCCTTCAAGTAGTGGAAGAAGTGCTGAATTACTTTGTTCTTCTGGTATTGGAACCACTGGTTTTATTGGTTTCTCTAGTTTAACATCTGATATTCTAAACTATGTACCAGCAACTAGTCAGGTTTGTGAAGATGATATTTCCTCTGCTGTTGATGGAGATTTTCGAATGGTGATGCGAAAAATGACTAAAAGAGATTCTGTTACCAAACTAAAGGTAGTTATTGATTTTATATTGTAAGAAGGAATTTCATTTAATTAAATAGTAAAATTAAATTTTTTTGCCATTTATAGGCAATTCAAGAGTTTAGTGAATTATGTAAAACTAAAAATGAAGAACTGTTAAAAGGAGCTCTTCCTTATTGGCCAAGACTTTATAATCAACTAGCAATGGTAAATGTTTTGAAAAGTTTGTTTAATCAAAACAGTTAAAGAATGAATATATAATATTTAGAGTAATAAAAAATTAATTTATAATAATAAATTTAATTTTCATTAAACCAAATTCTTAATTATTTTATAAAATATTCTTGATTATTATAAAAGGTTTATTATGGATTCTCTTTAGGATTTTGATCGACGGATTAGGGAAGCTACTCATGAAGCTCATTGTCAATTAGTTAAAAAAGTTGGACGAAATCTAGCACCACATCTTCGAAGTTTAATGGGAGTTTGGTTGATTTGCCAGGCAGATCCCTATAGTCCTGCAGCTTCTGCTGCAAAATCTGCCTTTAATGAAGCATTTCCAGAAAGCAAACAAGGAGAAGCATTAATGTATTGTAAAGATGAAATATTTAATGTATGTGAAAAAATATAATTAAAATTTTTTCAGTAATAATATGTATAATAATGTAAATTATTTTATTTATAGTACATACAAGATAATATTTTCAACCTAACACCTCAAAGTCTCCAACAATTAAATGATAATTCGTAAGTATTTTACTATAGTTTTTTGCAAAAATTTGTTTTGAGTTTTTAAATATAGTAGTGTAATCTGAACATTGATCATTCAAACCATCAAATTATCTGAACCATTACCAGTGAAAAGAGTTACTATGTAAAATTTTTATCAAAGTTCACATTTCACTTGTTTCTATCATATAATAATTTGTATTTTTTATTCTTTGTGTGTGGATTTATTGCTGAAGCTATATAAAACAATTAGATAAATTCAAAATAAATTTAGTATACTGCTGGTCAATATTTACATAACATTTTCTAATTAGTTATCTGATAATAGTGTTGTGTATTTCAAAATATTAAATGCTTAAAAATATAACCTCATGTAATGTAGTTTAGTTGCAATTATATCTAATAATTGGGTATTCTTTGCTGTGTATGAGGTTGGCTGCTACATCTAGGCAAGTGAAAATCTGATGCACTTTTTTTCTTTGGAAATGTTTGTATGTCTTCATTGAACAAAAAATAATATCAATAGATAAAACAAATTTTATACATCTTTTTAATTTGTTTATCATTGGTAATTTATGTAGGTATAATTTTGAATATTTGAGTTTTCTGAGTAATAGTTTTTGCAAAATTTTTAATTATACATCTATATCAAAAGCAGAGGTAATTTGATGTTTAGTTGATATTATTGTTAAAGAATAGCCAAAGAAAAACTTAGCTGATTAACTGTTTGGAAATTCAAAGTTGATTTGAAATTTGAAAACCATTAAAGAAGATTAAAAAAAGGATAGGACTCTGCTAATGTCAAAATACTTAAGTATGGAAGCAAAGAAAACATTTTCTAAGATTTCTCTGGAGCATTTTGCTGTATAGAAATTAGTGATGGACACTAGGAAAGTAAAATATGACCTGTCTGGAGGCAGCAGAAATGTAGATGGAGGAGAATAAACAAAACAAGCTAGGCTGAACGGAAAACAAAAGCAGTTCTAAGGGAAGTGCCAGAACAAAGATGGTTAATACAGGAAATAGGATATAGCAAATTTAAATCTATAGATCATATTATTATGCACAATAATTTTCTAAAAACTATCCTTGAAGGAAAAATCTTTTTCACCCCTAGCCATTCATCTAGATTTACCTAATGACAAAGCCTGACTTGATTATCTAAAACATCTGATTAACATAACTTTCTTGTTTTCAATTAGCTTGATGTTTGGATAATCAGTCTACTGTATTGTGTGTTAGACATCATCATTTTTAACCATTCATCAATTAATAGTATAAGGTCTCTTCAAATATTTTCTGTTCTCTTTCTTATACAAGATAAACCATTTAAGTTGAGACACCAGAATATTCCAGAAACAAACATGTGAAACAAAAATGTTCTAAACAATGGTTGTTTAATTGTAAAGGTAAAAGGAAATTGCATTATTGATTTTGCTGTTGAATTTGGTGGGCATAATGTTTCTTCATCACTGTTCCTGCAAACATTTCTGAATGTTGCTTTATATTTTCTGGGGTGGTTGATAGATTGCCATATGTATTCTATTTGAGCACATTGGCATACATCTCATAAAAAGAAGTCCAGAAATGTTGTCTGGCACTTTAGCAGGTAATGAAACTGGACCACTCCAACTTATTTAATGTCCATTGTAATCTAATAAAATAAAGTATGTTTCTTGCTCTGCATGAAAAATGCACTGGGCAATCATCATGCTGAAACATACATTATGCCTGATGCCCAAATTCACCTTTCTTTCAAACTAGGGTGGTGGAGAGTATCTATGCAAAATTTTCTTCAAATCAGTCAAAGAGTTTGGTAGTTTGTGGGGAGGGAGTGAGAGTTTGAGTTTTAAAGTAGCTTATATTTTTTGGAGAATTGTAAAGAACAACTATGCAAACTATGTCCAGATCGCTCAAAAGGTTTGGAAGTTTGGAGATAGGGGGATGAAATCAGATTTTATGACACTGTTTGCATTTGACACCTGTAGGAGCTGGAAGTCACGCTGCACACACTGCTAAGATTTGCAAGCAAGGTATGTTTTAGGATGAGATCAGTGCCTTTAACATAAATAACAATTGCATTAACTGACCAAAAATAGTTTTTACCTTGAACTGGTACTACTGTCTATTCTACAGGCTCTGTGCCAGTCAAGGTTTTTTTGTCACTTGCATTGACCGATGCTCTGAATGTAGTCATGTGCTTTGGTGCAAGCAATAGAGAATATCCTAATGCCCTCTTGGGGCAATCTCCCCACACCTCCTAAAACTATAGAGCATCAAGTTCTTCACAAACATTTAAGTGGAATACTCAAAGCCAACATAGTTGCCTGGGCTAAGTATTTAAATATGGTAGTCTTAGCGGATTCCAGTCTTAGACTGATTTCAGAGAGCTATATTTACAAAGAGTCACATAGAAGTATTATTCCTTTGACTTTTTTGCTCCTATGGGTATGATCTACAGCTCTGTTGAGGTCCCAACAGTATCATTCACATCTACAATTGTGCCAGATTGATACTAAAACAATGAACAGATAAAAATGCTATAGGCCTAATTACAAAAGTTTAGTTTCATGTAGGGGAAGTAAATTCACTCCTTATAGTTGTAAGTATCTGATAACATAACACTATTATTATAAGAAATAAACAACCAAGAAAATATAAAAAAACCATATATACAACTACCTGAACTGCATAAATCATTGTTTTTATCATTGTCTTTAAACCCAATCTCACCAGTCCCCACTCCCTCAAAAGCCTGAACAATGCAAGGCATATGCAACTAATATATTTATAAATAAGAAAGTGAAAATTGTTAAAATTGCACTTTCAAAAAACTTGCTAGTCTGAATTTTCATTTTTTCAAAAATGATATTTCGATATGTTATAGTTATACTCAGATTTAGTTACTCAATTATATTTTAGTTTTTTAATGTTAAATTAGCATTTATAAAAAAAATTTAATAATTTAATAATTATCAATGTTTTCAATATCTTAATTAACATTTACAATTTAAAATATGTTTCTGTTTCATCAATAGTTTGACAAATGTTTTATTATTAAATAATTGTATTTATAAATAGTATATTTATAAATTTTTTTTATTGCTACTATTTTAATACTAAAAATAATTAATCATAAAGTAATTACAAATACAGGTAACCCTCATGCAACACGGTACTTCTACAACATGGTTTCACTCTAATGCAACCTGAAAATTGAAAATATCTCCTGTACAACACAACTTCTGGTTTTGATCTAATACTGTTTTGAAAATCCTTCATACAAAATTTCACAATTTTTAAGTCTAAACTTTATTATCCAATATTTTGTTTTTATTCAAGTAATCATGCATGTTGTTTCAAATTTGCCCATGGATTTTATTGAAATTTTCAAATTATTTTGTACTTTTTGTCAGGTTTACTTTAATGAAAACAGATAGGACAATATTTTTCTTCTTTGTCCTAGCATTCCTATCAACTCTGTGTTGCCATTGTTGCTTTCAGATTTTAGCATTTATGATCCACTGTGTTTTGTTTTTATGATCAATCTTTTTATTTAGTAAAGTTTATTTAAACGTTTTTAGATAAGTGCTATTAAACTTTTAAACTATATATATAAAATTAAATGTAATTTAAACATATTTTATATATATATATATGTACACATACATATGTACAATAAAGTATGGTGGTATCTTGGTACAGTACTTGTAACAATTTGGTATTCAAACAAATTCTGGAAAAAGTCACTCAATACTCAAATGAACAAATGCAGCCTGCTATTACAAATTTTCAATTAATAAGATAATTTTTATTCTGTCATCCATAAACATTTTTTATGATAAAAATAAAAAATATGAGAATGTTGCTGATACTTTGGATCAAGATCAACAAAAAAACTGAGATGGTGACAATATTTTGTAAAAAATGCCCTTGTTTAACTAAAATTAATATTAATGCATAAAAGAATACTTTTAATTGTGATTATTAATTAATTATTGATTGCTTTAATAAACATATTTCTCTTAGTAATGAAAAAGAATAGTATACTTTCGTTAACTTATGGAATGTTAACTCTATGTTAGTATTAGTCCTTTGTTTTGTATAGCACAAATTTGCATAACACTGCACAACACTGCACTTTTTTGGAATGTATCTACTGTGTTATATAAGGGATACCTGTATATTAATAAAGCATGTAAATAATAAATAATTTGTAATTATTTTATGAATATAGCACAAATTTGACAGAAGATATTCAGAATAAATATCATCGTATTTTAAAATGTTCATTTGAAGGCTTAGGATTATTCATTTTAAACATTTCACCAAATCATTACAAGAAAATTCAAGATTCAATTGATAAAATATTAATTGAAACAAAATTTTGGAAATTTGCAAGACACAAAGAATTAATGGTAAGCTAATTTTATATAAAAATTTAATTTTTTTATTTTTCTGTTTGATTATTTATTTTATAATTTAAAAAAAAAAAAATATACATATATATATATTAGTGATGCCATGAATAGTGATTTTGCTGAATACTGAATATATGTAAATGAGGATGTTTTTTGTTTCCTATGCACACCTAGGTTATTTGACCAGTGCTACAAAACTCTGCATTTTCGTTAACATACTTTAACTTACATAATGTCATAAATTATCACCCCAAAATATTGATTGTATTTCTATATATCAATTAATTTCTGTCTGTCTAATTTCATTTCCTGGTTTTACATGTAGTGCCAAAAAATTTAAGAAAATAATAAACTAAATATAATAATTCTTAAAATGTATATAATTTTTAAAAATATATCAATATATATATATGTGAGACTTTTCTTTGTCTTTTGAAAAACTTTAATTGAGGTAAGAAAGATTTGGATAACAGGAATGTTTTAAGGAATACAAATTACGTAAAAAATATTGTGACTATTATAAAAAGCAAATGTAAGACTTCTTTTTCGTCTTTCGTCTTTTCGCGTGTTCTTCTTCAACCGTCGTCTCCTCTCACAAAGTCGCGCTTCGTCCCGCTCTCGTCGTCTCGCCAGCAGATGGCGTTTCGCTGTCCACATATATATATATATATTAGTGATGCCATGAATAGTGATTTTGCCGAATACCGAATATTTGGCTATGCACTCGGCCAAAGCGCCGAATGTTCGGCAAAATAGGTGTGCATTTTATGGATGACAGGTTACGACCTGTCTCATTGCGGTGAGTGCAGTAGTGACACTGCGGGTGCATTTGTTTTGTTTATGATTAGATCGTGTCACGACATGCATTATTTGTTCATTGTTACATCAAATTGTGTTACTATTAGTCCTTATTACTAAAAAATATCACTGTTTGTATTACATTATATGAAAACTGTTCGCCTACATCGGACGGCAGACCTTTACAAGTGGTGGTCAGCAAACACAAAACAGTATCCAAGCCTGACAGAATTCGCTAAGATTTATCTATCGTCTCCCAGCAGTAGTATATATAGTGAGAGGCTATTTTCAGAAGCAGGTATAGTTTATGAGGAAAAGCGCAATCGTTTGCTATCAACAAATGCTGAAAAAATTGTTTTCATTCATCACAACTTACCACTGATAGATTTTAAGTATTAAATGTAATAATTTGTGATTAAAATAAATACGTTTTTGAGTAATATGTGTGTTTTTTTTTATGATTTAGTATTCATTATTTGGCTGAATACCGAATATTGAAAAAAGTAGCAGAATAGGCCGAATACTGAATAGTAGCCGAATATTCATGGTATCTCTAATATATATATAAACTTAATTACTGCTACAATGATATAGCATGAATTAGATGTGCTACATCATTACTGTGACAGGCAGCGCACAGCACTTGCCTGTGTGGAATTGAAAGTGTTAACCTGTGAAAATCTATAAGTATTTAATTTTCTACATTAGCAACTCAGGTTTTTTTCATTTCTAATTGATATTTTCTAATAAGTACCTTCCAATAGCCAAGTGGATAAAACCACCGAACATTGGTAGTTGGCCATGGGCTGGCCATGTGGAGTTTTCCAGGTTTTCTTCATGTTATTAACATCTAAACAGGGATCAGCTTCATATAAGTCTTCTTGGGATACGTCCCCTCGGCATATTGCTCATGTGTCAATTGCCTTAACCAAATAAATCAAACTAATTCAAATCATTTTTCTGTAAATGCCATATATATGAGGACATACTTCCCAAGTAGTTTATACAAACAGTTACAAAAATATAAACACTTTATTATCACATAAAAGCAATTATTCTTGCATTTTTATACGATTTTTTTTTTTAAAACAAGTCGTGAAGTCTTTCAGACATCAAGGTTAGCAACTTCAATCATGTGTGGAGCTATCACAATCTATCCAACACATATCACTTTTCAAATATTAATTAATAGTAGACCAGTATTAATTAGTAGTCATTGACTATCCTTTCTTCCAGGAGGAGATCAATGATTACTTTTGGCCAAATTACTTCAACCCCCTTTTGCAACAGTTTCTTCTTTCTATCATACCAGCAGTATGGTGGCATTTCAATAGGAAAATTACATAATACAAGTTTACTAGTCTGCACAAAATATGTTTTAATTGGTTTTTGAGGGTGCCGAGTTTAAATATTTGGTCCTTTTTTTGCAAAATTTGATTCATTGGCAGATTACCATTTGATATTTGGCTGTGAATGGTACAGTTTTTTAGAGTTAACATTAGGAAAAAATATGATATCTTAAAAAATTTGAGAAATATTTTCAATTGATGTCTACTTGACCAATGAAATTATGCCATTTTGTACCATTTTAGTATGGCGATAAACATGACAATGGTAGGCTGAAATAACCAAACTCTGGTTTTCATTTGAATGTTTGTTATATTATAGTATTTGATTTATATAACCACAAAGGTTATCTTACATAAGGGTTTATCACACTGAGTGACCTTGATCAACTCCATTAATTGCACTAAGTAATAATACAAAACATGGGACACTGAATGTTACATTATTTTATTAATTATATGTATAATATACAAAGCAGTGACATAAACAGTTTGCTATGCAACACTTCAGAAACAAAAACAAATCATTCTCTTACCCAAGGGTTAAGATCCTAGCATTACATAATGTTTTTGTAAACACTCCCCATTCCCTTGTAATGAATCATAATGATTACTTGCATACTCACTGTGTTACATAATTAATCCTACTTACTTCTGCATTATGGACAATTTCAATATAATTATTCAAGTTATTTATATATGCTACTTATAAGATATTTAAATTCATTCCTATTTTTTAATCTACCAGAAAAGTATTTTAAATTGTTTAAATTATGATTGTGAAATTTAAAAATTTTTATTCCAAATATTTTTAATTTAAAATTTGAAACATGTAACTGGTTTTTTTAACTTACTTGTAATTTATAATTTAAACATATCTTATTGTGTTAGAAATTTTTTATTTAAATCAAAAATTTTTCTGTAATTATTAATTTATAATAATAATAATAATAA